GCCCCCTTGCCCCCCCCCTCTCTTCTCCCCCCTACCTGCTGGCCCGCCCCTCCCCACAAGCTGACCCCTTCCTTCTGCAGGTGTGAACCGGCACTTCCACATGATCTGTATCCGAGACAAGTTCAGCCAGAACATTGGGCGGCAGGTCCCATCCAAGGTCATCTGGGACCACCTGAGCACCATGTATGACATGCAGGCACTGGTGAGCAGGACCCCACCCTCCCCAGTCCTCCCAGGGCCAGAGCCCCTCGCTCCCCCAGGCAGAGCTGGTGGCAGGGAGCCCCCTCCATGCCTCCTCCCTGGGTCCTTGCCGGGCCCTGGCCTCAGGGACCTTGATGTCTGGGATGTCCCACAGGGGACCAGTTGTTGAACAAGATAGCTCTGAGTAGTTTTACGAAAAACACAAGCCTAATGATGGTAGCTAGTTATTGCATGGAACTACCTTAGGTGGGGGGTTGGGGGGTGGTCGGTTAAGATCTTGCAGGAGATAACTAGGGAGCTGAAGCTCATGGGAGGGGGCTCTTAGGCCATTGTCAGTCTTGTGGAAAGTCCCCGAGTGCTACAGGCAGGGAGGTGACCGGGTCTGAGTCACATTAAGATGAATATGGTGGTTTCTGTGAGAACCAGGCAGGCAGGGGCCCAGGCCTCATGGAACCCCCAGCTGGCCGTGTCTGAGGGGGAAAAGGTTAACTAGGTAACCAGGACGGCAGAAAAGACAGGTGGGCATTCCCGGCAGAGGAATGGTAGGTGTCAAGGCCCTGTGGCAGCAGGCATTGGTGCGTCAGGGAACGCAGAGGAGGCCAGGATGTCTGGAGAATGAGTGGGAGTGGGGATGTCAGGTGACCAGCAGGGTGGGAGACCGTGCTGGGGTTAGGCAAGGCTCTGCCTCTCCTCGAGACTTGGGGCTGCCCCAGCCTCCCAGCTGAGACCTGCTGCACATCTGTGAGGTGGAGAGCAAAGCCCGGGCCTTCTTGTGTCCATAAACCGCGCTGCCATTCGCTCCCTCTTGGTCTTGGGCAAGTCGTTTGCGCCTCGTCGTCCTCGCATAGAAAGGGGAACTGACAGCTGGGCCCTGGAACTGACCTCCTGGCCCACAGTCAGTACCCTGGAAACTTGAGGACAAGCCGCTAAACTAAAGCAGGCCCTGCAGAGGGGCTGTGCCCATGAGCTGGGGCCCTGCTCCCCGAGAATTCCTGTGTTCAGAGGCTTGACAGGGCTCCCATGCTTGTCATGTTGGGGGTCACCTGACCCCCAGGAACTTCCTGCACCCCGACTCCAGGCTGGCGGCCAGGAGCTAGACACAGAGATGAGTGTGGCAGGGCCCCTGTCTTGGGGGGCCCTGGTGCGGTAGGAGAGACAGTTAGCTCTCAGGCACCGGCCCTGGCTCCAAGGTCCTGTGGCTGTGACGCCCAGCACAGGGCCCACGTGACACTGTGGGGGGCCACCCAGGGGTCTCAGCCCAGGACAGGTGGCCCTTCCCCCGTCGCTTCCTTAGACCCCAGCACCGCTGTGGAGCTGATGCCTCGGTCCCCTGGGGCCTTGTAAGTATGAGTCTGTGGACCGCACCCCACAAGGTGACCATGAGCCCAGGAGCCCTCGGGGTTTGCGAAGCTCCCGGATGTCGGTTGGCACGTTTACGTGCTGACCACGTGGCTTGTCAGCACAGCTCCCAACCTGGGGACTGGAGGCCCTGTCTCCTGAACCCCCTCCCAACCTAGAGACCCTTCCCACCAGCTCACCTTTCTCTTCGTCCGGTGGTCCGTGTTTTCGGGGTCTCTCTCCCTCTGGCATGTGTGTGACCTCCCTCCATTTTGCTTTGCTTACCTGGTTTCCACGGGGGTGGCTCTCCCTGCCTCCCTGGCTCCTTCCCCCTGGACACGGGACCCAGGCACCATGGCCTTTCCTCACGGCTGTCGCGGGCTCTGAAGGCACTGTCCTGGAGAGGGAGCCCATGCAGCCGGGCCAGGCCGGCATGACAGCACTGCCTGACTCTGCCCCCGGAGGCATGCCAGCCGGCGGAGCTGCCCCGGCATCATCTCAGGTGACACTAAACCCTTATTCCCATCGTGATGCCTGCCTGTGGCTCGCACTGTAGTTTTGCCTTGTCTGGGTCTCTGTGACAAGCCAGCCCCTGTAGACTGCACAAGAGAAAGAAGAAAGGTCTCAGCCCTGCGCCTGCCCACTGCAGCCCCCAAGACGGTCACGTGTGTTCATTGGTCTCTCCTGAGTTGTCTCTTACATATTTTCAGTCACAGTTTCTTTTAAATGTGACTTTTAAAATCAAGTTTTCTTCTTTGTTTCTTAAAAAAACCCAAAATGCCCTGTTTGCCATCAGCACGAGTCTGAGATTCTTCCATTCCCAAATCCAGAGAGGAACTTCGTCCTTCCAGAAGAAATCATTCAAGAAGTCCGAGAAGGTAAGACTCGGGTGAGAGCAGATTTGGGAACCAGGAAAGGCCGAGGGTGGTGGTGTCAGGGTGAAGGTCATGAGCCTCGGGGAGTGAGCGTCACTGGCAGGGGGATGCTGGGCCCTCTTGGAGGGGGAGGCCTGGGGGCCCCCGGGACAGGGGGAGGACTTCCTGAAGGACATACGCGTCTCCTGAGTCAGGAGGAGCCCCTGGCCTGAGCCGATGCAGGTCGGGTGGGGCTGCGGCGCCCACTGCCCTGAGCTCTAGGTCACCGTTGGCCGTCTCCCCCCAGGAAAAGTGGTCATTGAGGAGGATACGAACGAGGAAATGAAGGAAGACGTGGACCCCCACAATGTGGCCGATGATGGTAAGTATGGAGCTCGCCCGCCCCTCCTGGGGCCCCAGGGGCACAGCACCCCAGCCTGGCCAGGCCTCCCCGTCGCCGGCAGCCAGGGCCTGGCGTCTGGCTCAGCAGCTGAGAAGGCCACTTCCGTCTGCTCAGGCAGAGCCTCCCACGCTGGGAGGTCACGCACGGGGCTGGCACGGGGCGGGGAAGGGGGCACAGGGCAGCCTGGCCCCGGGCCCGGTCAGTGGTCACAGGGTGCAGGAGGGTGTCCGACTGAAGTGGAACGGGTGGCGGCCGTCTCAGTGCAGGGCGAACCCCAAGGAGCAAAATCGGGCACGGCTGGGCCTCGCTCCCCCAAGGGGCAGGCCACATGGGCACCCCCAGTCCGGGAGGAGCCTTTTGGGGTCAATGTCATGTATGTAGGTGTAGACTTCTTAAACTGAACAAGAAGATGAAATAAAATTTTGGATATTCTGTTTTCAGCCAAATGATTTTGTCTCCCAGTTTTTTCATCTTCAGGAAGCTTGGGGAAAGCAACAGAAAAGTCCAGCAAAGACAAAGACAAGAGCAACTCAGACTTGGGGTCCAAAGAGGGGCCGGACAAGCGGAAGCGCAGCCGGGTCACCGACAAAGTCCTGACCGCCAACAGCAACCCCTCCAGCCCCAGCGCGGCCAAGCGGCGCCGGACGTAGACGCTCACAGCAGGCGGGCACCGTGGTCACCAGGTGGTCGGCGGGTCAAATGCCACTGGGCCTGCTGCCTGCCCTCAGGTGCCAGAGGCTCCCGCGGTGCCACTCAGATCACCTGGGCTCAGATGGCCCCTGACGACCGGAACAGAATCCGTTCAGATGCTGAGACCCGAGAGGTGTGAGCCCAGGCCACGATCACGCCGGACACTCGTGGCTTCATGACGACGGCTGAGCTGCGCCTGTGGCTAAGCGTTGGCACGGGCCTGCAAACCAGGCTGCGTGGGCAGAGAGCGGGGCACAGCCAGCAATAACACACCGACCCTCTCTGTGCTCTGAGGAGCCCCGGTCTTCCCGTTTGTCCATCTGTCCACCTGTCTACCGCTGTCAACTGACTGCGGCCTCAGGAGAGCGTCAGGCCGCAGGCGCCGGCCCCTCCACCACCCGAGAGACTGAGAACTGGGTATTTTGCCTCATTCACTTGTACTGTAATGATGTATATAATTTGGTTGGTATTTCACTATTTAATTTTTAAGGAGCCTATTTTACTAGTGTTTTATATGAAAAAAAATACTGCAGAAGTTAAACCTGTGTTGTATTTTTTCTGAGATGTTTTGTTTTAAGGTAACAGACTACTGAGATAATTTTTGCTCAGTTTTTATATGCCGATACAGAGAATTTGTAGCGGTTATTTTTGTATTCTCAAGTAACTTGCAACAGACCAAATGAGCATGTGGAGGGAGGCAGGACGTGGGGCTGACCCGCTGCAGCTTGGGCCCCAGGCTGACCGAGGTACGCTTGTGTTTGACTGAGGGACATTAAAACACAAAAAAGCAACCTGGAGTTGTGTGATTTTGATACCAAAGTAAGTTAACTCCTCCTGCAGTAGGAAGTTGTATTTTTTCGAGATTTCTTACTGAAGCTAACTTTGATGTCCTGGATCACTTGATACAATGAATATACAACCTAGTAACAACAGGTTCGAGTGGCTGCTTTGTTGCAAGTAAGCAACCCTTCAAATGCAAAGTCAAGAGAGCAAACCAGCCGGAACTGGCGCCTCCTTCCCGAGAGCAAAGGAACGTGAAGGCGAGAATTCTGCCTGAGCTTGTGTTGAGAGGCACAGCCAGGCCTCCCGAGTGACGGCGAAGGTGCTCGCCCTCATCTTGACAAACCACGAGGACATTGAATGCCACCCGTCCCCCAGCATCAGGAGCACAAGGTCAGAACAGGCTGAGCCCACGAGGCAAGGCCAGGAGCTCCATGGGCTGAGGCCACCTGGCGCGGGGTCGGAGGCCGGCACCCGCTTCCCTGGCAGGGCTGACGTTGTCCGGCAGTGTCTTGTGTCAGGTTGAGTGTCCTGGGTCGGGTCTGCCGACCCTGAGCAGCCCTGGCCTTCCATCCCGACTGCCCTGTGTGGGCAGCTGGGGCAGAAGCTTGCACCCCACGGTCAGACCTGCTGCATGGGGGGCCCCCGTGGAGTAAGTCTCCAGCAGAAGATCCCAGCCTCGGCAGTTACCTCCTGCCACAGGTGGGGGGGCGGGATCTAGATGGAGCCCAGGGGCAGTTGGGTGTGACTGGCACTAGTAAAGCGGAAGCTGGGCAGCATCTGAGAACAAGCCTTGTGTGTGGCAGCAGGCAGCCGTGGGAAGGCTGTGCTCTGAGCGCTGCAGGCTGGGGCCACGGCCCTGTCTCCGCTGCATGCTTGTCTGTTCTCTGGCGCAGAGCGGGGGAGCCTGCCCACCCACGTGCTCTCAGAGCTGCCCAACCCTGGAGGGCACCCCAGCACCCATCAGTGCCTCCATCAGAGGCTGGAAGTCACAGCCAGGGTCTACGAGGCCAGCTGCAATTCAGCTAAGGTGAAGGCCAGGCCCGTGGCCGCAGCCTGCGGTGGGCCAGCCCCACCCGATGCCTGGCAGCTCTTCTATCACCTGCTCCTCGGGACACCTGCCCAGGCCATCGGTGGCAGACGATTTGCAGAAATACCCAGAGCTCCATACCTTTGGCGGAGTCACCACTGTCCTTTTAGAAAGTCGTCCAGGCAAGACAGTACCTAGAGAGGTAACAGGTTGGTGAGCCTGCAAGGAATTGCCACCAGCACCAAAAAAGGTCTTTAGCTGTGCCCATGGCCAAGATTGGCAGGTTCTGTTCAGCTCTGGGTCGTCCCCAGCTGCACAGCTTGAGGACTGTCAAGTCCCCTGAGGCCTGGTAGCTGACTTGCAGGGCTGGGCGAGGTCAGCGTCCCCGGTGGCTGGGCTGGGCCTTAGTCTGTGTTGAAGAGCCCCGAAGGTGAGCCCCGAAGGTGATCCCCGGTCATTTCTGCCTCCAGGTGTTTGGGTCTTTGCCTGGTGCCCCCTCGTAAGTGCAGGCAGCCCCTGTGCTTTCTTATAACCATTATAATGCAGCAAGGGGGACAGGAGGGCAGACCCACGAGGACACTGCACTCTGGGACTCTCTGCTGGAGAGAGACTTTCCCGCTGGCCTTGAAGAAGCAAACTGCCCAGTTGTGAACTTCTGGAGGGGACACCGGGATCTCTGCCCTACCGCCCAGGAAGATGGGTTCTGCCAACCACCTGAGGGGGCTTGAAAGCAGTTCAGTCCCCAAAGGAAATCCGATGAGACTGCTGCCCCAGCCGACACCTGGAGGGCATCCTGGGGGGACACCTGGGGGACAACTTCCAGGGGGTGTCCTCCTGGGGGCATCCTTGTGGGGGGACATCCTCCACACATTCGTACAGGGTGGGGGACATCTGCTGTGGACAACCTCCAGGGGGCCACCCTTCGGGGGACATCCTGCCTCAGGTCATCCTGAGGGGGCACCATGGTGGAGAGAGGTATCCTCCAGGGGGAATGTTCTGGAGGGGAATGGACATTCTGGGGGGTGCTCTGGGGGACAGGGACCCTCTGGAAACATCCTCAGAGAAGAGGGCATCCTGGGCTACATTCTTCTGAGGGGGAAATGGGGGCGGGGCTTCTTCCGGGGGATGGTTCTGGACTTCTAGGAGGTAAGCATCCTCCAAGAAAAAGATCTCCAGGGTGGGGATCTCAGGGTGGAGGGGAACATTCCCGGACGGTGGAAGAGAGACTTTTCAGGTTGGTGGGCTGGGGAGGCAAGCATCCTCCGGGGAAACGTCTTTGGGGGGGGG